GCTGCTTGTTTCATTGACACAGCTCCTCACTGAACCAGCCCCTTGTGTCTAACAGTTCTTTAAAGACATGCAACTCTTGTGCTGGAGTTGGAGTTTGTGTCTAAGAAGGGCCACTACAGGAGAGTCAGAAATGTCACTCTCCAAGTGTCGATTTCTGGTTTCCCTGGGTCCCCATCATCATTCCCCACCCAGAGCAGCTGATTACTTTAAGAGAGCACAGTTGCCTGGCTTTCTAAAGTGTATTTAGCAAACAGGATGCTAAACTTCTTTTTATTACTGCAGATCTTATGTTTTCTTATTTGTTGAGAATTTTAAACATGGTTTTTTTTTTAAGTCAAGTAATTAAATAAACATCTTTGCCATTTTTTCTTTCCTTTTTAGCAAGTCTTTCCCCTTGTTTAACCGATGCATCCCTCAAACGCCTGAGTGCTATTCCTTGTTTGCATCTGTTTTGATAAATGATGTCGACATCCTCCATCGAATTCTAAGTGGAATAATGTCAGGAAGAGACATAATCCTCGGCCTGTGTATCTTTGCATTAGGTAATTTTCAGTTAATTTTCTTACAGTGACTGTGCCAAAGTTTCTAGCACTTACGTATGTTGTACAGTGAAAATTAGCCTCTTGACTTAAAGATAAAACGTCACGTATTTTCTTCATAAATATTTTCAATGTTTTAGGTTCAGCTGGGAGAGGGGACAATAGAATTAGGGGAACACCAGCCGGCTCTCTGCCAAGAGACCTCACTGAGTGTGGGTTTGCCTTAATATAGCGGCCATGTTCCAGAGCCTAGTCCTCAGCTCTGAGTAAGCATGGGTGTGCAAAGCAGATTCACAAACTGGCCAGTTTGCGAATTGGCAATGAAAATTACAACTGTCAGGGGAACCAGAAATGTGTGTCTTCTGGCCAGACTGCCCTCTCCGCATGAGCAAGCCAGGTCAGAAGGTTGCTTGGTGAGCAAGGGAAGGAGGCACGTGCATCGTGTTCAGTAGCATCAGACAGCAATGGCCTGATGTAGCCAACTGCCTGCTTTGGGTTGTAGGCAGGTCAAGGCCTCGAGCCAGGACATGCCTCTTTCAGGCGTTTCTGGAAGCAGCTACCCCCACCCCTGACCCTTTAACTTCCTATTTGCTGTCCTCCAACTTGAAGAACCCCTTTAAGAGTCAACTTTGTCTTTGAACAAATTAACACATTCTGCCATTGTGGGCGGTAGTGATGGCCTGCTGTCTACCCCCTTCTGCAGTGGCTGCTCCCCAGCCGTTTGGTTGAAAGGAATTCTTCGGTCAGCCATGATTTTACCAGTTTACAAATTGAGTGTTCTGTAATTTCATCACCAGAGGGTTACTAATTCCTGAGTGCTTGGGGATGCCTAACTCGTCACCTTTATGCAACTTCCCGATTTCTTATGATCCAGTGTGCCAGGCCTTGTGCTTACTCTTAACTCATTAAAACCTCGTCAGAATGCTGTCACCACTTGCAGGAGGGGAAACCGAGGCTTAGGTTAAGTGACTTGGCCAAAGTCATATGGTGACTAGAGTGGGCGGCAGAGCTGAGACTTAACCCAGGGTGTGTTCTGATCCCCAAAGCCACATTCTTAACCACTACACCAAAATATCTATATGGAATCCTAAGATTTCTGGTTTAGAGAAAAAGTAAAATAGTATATATAAATTCACTGAAATGCTTAACATAAATTCATAAGCCTAAAAGCCCAAGTACTGGACAGTAATATACAGATTTTTTACATATACAGCTTACCAAAACATTAGAAAATTTTTCATTTCTAAAGGCATTAATTGGGGCGCCTGGGAGGCTCAGTCGTTTGAGCGTCTGCCTTCAGCTCAGGTCATGATCCCAGGGTCCTGGGATCGAGCCCCGCATCGGGCTCCCT